TCTGGGTTGTTGTTTACCCTTATTATTGACGTTCATTAACATAGCCTCAAATGCTGAGTTATGGAGAAGGAGGGGAGGTGGGAAAAGAAAGAAAGATGTGTGTATGTTGGGTCTGGGCAGGGAAGCGAGTTTCTCTATTGTCCCGGTAACAGGCTTTATGTGTTTATAATGCATCTGTGACTTGTTTTTCTCTCTCTCACTATCTTGAACTGGTCTGGGCTGATTCTGCGTTCCTCTAGGCTTTTCATGACTGCTTTAGATTTGCTGTAGTAATGCTGGCTTCCTTGCTCTTCTTCCCACTAGACATTCTATCTCTGGGCTCTGGGCGTTTTCTCATGCCTGGAATTCTCTCCCACTTCATCTCTCCTTCATGGCTTCCCAGCTAAAACCCCGCCTACTGCAAGAAGCCTTTGTCAACCTCCCCTCAGTGCTAGTGCCTTCCTTCCCTCTGCTGATTCTCTCCAATGTAGCCTGCACCCATCGAATTTGTACGTAGTCGGTTGAATCTTGCTTCTCTCATTAGACTGTGAACTCCGTGCTAGCTGGGACTGTCTCTTCCCCATCTTTGACAGTGCCTTGCACACAGTAGGTGTTCCATAAATGTTTGTTGACATGATTTAAATTGAGAATCTCATGTCTCAGGATCAAAGACAAAGAGACCCTGTTTGCTCCCGTGGTTTATATCTAATCTATATGTCAATATTTATACGTCTATAGACATACAGTGGGAGTAGGGGGTACCAGATTTGTGATTGCATTATTATAGGGAACTTCTGGCAAGGAAACTCCTTCTACCAGTGCAGATCTGCATCTTCTCCACAATGTAAAATCTTTAAGAATCTGGTGGGACACATTCAGAATGCTTTCCTAGGGCCACACAGCTAGTAATATATCAAAGGGGGCATTTGAACCTAAAATTTCCTGACTCTGATGCTGGCCTCTCGTGTATCATGTGCATGGGATCATAGGTCTAGATCTGTATCCATCAACCAATCAGCCAGTATTTTTTCAGCTTCTACTATGTGCCATGTGCTAGGGCTACAAATGTAGGGATTGTAACAATCTCTACTCATCAGGAACTTACGTTCTGGTAGACAGAGGCTACTAATCCAACTTTGGTCATTTTAGAATTGAAGGCATGGGAGGCCTGAGAAAATTAAGTGACTTTCTGAAGGTCATATATATAAGAAATGTCAACAAGAGTTGAGACCCAGACCTCGAACTCCAATCAGTTCTATTTCTAATCCACCATGCTAATTAGTACATAGTAAATACATGCTTGCCTACTGATGATTCTTCTCTCACTTTTCCTTTGTGTAGTTTTTTTTTTAGACATTAGATTTCTATCCAAAGTTCACAACTTGAATGCAGGTCTTCTAGATTAAGACCAGCTCTCTACCCATTAGCCTCTCATTTATAATGATATTCCCTTTATAAAAAAAAAGCTGGTACAATTACAGCAAATATATCTGAGGATCCATCTGCTTTGTAACACTGTCTGTAGACCTCTCTCAGTCCTGTTCATAGAAACATAGATTTAGAAGTAGAAGGGACTTTAGAAACCATCAATCCCTTCATTTTACATATGAGCAAATTGAGGCACTGAGGTTAGGTGACTTGCCTCAGGTCACACAGATAGGTAGTGAGGTCAGAAAGTGGGTTGAGGTCTAAATGAAGTAACCCATGGCCAGGGCACTTCCTTAAATGGTGCTCTTAGAAGTGGAGAGTGGAGATGGATTGTATTGGACATTTCAGTGCTAGGACTGCTGAGGCTAGGGGCTTCCTTGGGAGTCAGTATAACTTGTTATACTTATTCAGTTGTCACTAGATGGTGGTGGCCATCAGGGTCTGTATTTGGGTGGCAGCATCAGAAATAGAAAGGGGGAGAGGTATGGATGCTAGCAATATGATTGATACTGTAGGGACGAACCTTCTGAAAGACTCACCAACTTTGACTAACGCAATGGCTGGCCATTATTAGTCCAATGATGAAGAAGGCTGCCTACCTCCTGACTGATTGCAGATGGGCTAAGATGCAGCATAAGACACAATTTTTCAGCATGGCCAATATAGGAATTTGTTTTGCTTTACTATGCTTATTTGCTATAAGGGATTTTTCCTTTTCTTTTTTTCCAGTGGGCAGTAGGAGGGAGAAAAAAATGCTTCATAAATAGAAAAAAAAATAAATTTAATTAGAAAAATAAAAGAATAGGGCAGAAAAAGACTTCTTCAAGATATATTGCAGAGAGAGAGACAGAGACAGAGACAGAGAGAGACAGAACAGAGACAAACAGACAGACAGACGCATGATGCTTCAGGGGGTAAAATCAGTCAGAAAGGTCTTGGAAGCTGATTCTCTCTAGGGAAGGACTGGACAGGGGAGGAAAAGGCAAGTATCAAGGATAACCCCGAGATTTCAAGCCCAGAGGACTGGGAGCCATCAGCAGAAATGGTGAAGGAAGCCAGAAGGAACAGCAGATTTCAGGGAAAGATAATCAACTCCAGCAATCCAGAATATAATTGCTATGGTCTTTGCCAGCTGTGTTTATAAATGATCACCATCCAGTGGCTGGAGGCGCAAACAAGTGCATCTTTTCAAGAATGTAACCCATGATGGGGGAGGCAACATGAGCCCAAATGGTATTGGTGTCTTGGCCAGCTTAGCCTTGACTTATTTGTTCCATTTGTGATTTTTATTGCCTTTATTTATTCATTCATTCATTTATTTATTTTGGTGGAGAGAGGCAGCAAACTTGCAGAGTTCAGTGGACTAGGGCTCAGATCATGTGGTGGGAAGGGCACTTTGCTCCTTACTGGGACATTCTTGGGCAGGCCTCTCACCTCCTCTGGATCTCAGGGCCCTTGTGGGTAGCATGGGGGCATTGATTAGGTCCATAAAAAATTTTCTAGCTTTAAGTTATGGAGTCTTATTCAGGTTTTCAATCCTGTATCTCCTTCTCAAGTCACTTGGTTAAGTTAGTTGGTTTCTTGGAGCATGGGGGTTATGGGAACAGGAGTGGAAAGAGCCCTAATTTTTGAGCCAGAGGCCCCGGATTTGAATCCTACCTAATGCATTTAAATACTTTTCTGACCTTAGATAAGTCATTGAACTACTCTGGGTTTCCATTCTTTGTTGGTAAAATGAGGTTGGTTGGCCTTGATGCTTTCTGAGATTCCTTCTAGCTCCAGAATCTTCTGTGATCTTGGGAGATGTCCTTAGGAGAAGGTCTTACATGATATAAAGCACTATGTAAATGCTATTACTATTAGTGATCTAACATGGTTGGCTTGTGTCTTCAATGGGCTGACCCATGTTGCTCTTGAATAAGTTAGGATATGATCATTTTTATGCGGGTAATTTCAGGTGAATTCTTTCTCACTGTTCTCAGGCTTAATAGATGAATTATAGAATCATATTTCATGTCAATATCATCCTCATCCCTACAATGGCCTTCAATGAGGTTTACCCTAGTGAAGAAGGTGGCTATTTAAGATTCTTAATTAAGAATCCAGATTTTTGCAGTCCATCCCCATTCATTTTAGTTTTCTGGTTGATTTTCCCTGGTGTTGTACCAAATTGCCTTTTAGACCTTTGGATCTCTGATGTTAGGGGCAAGATATTGGGTCATCTGGTATTAGATCAGAGAGGTGTAGTAGGAAAGAGACCTGGATTTGGGGTCACAGCACATGAGCTCAAGCCCCAACTCTTCCACTTGTACCTATGTAACTTGGTACTTATCCAATTTTGGGCAAATCACTTGACCTTTCTGAGCCTTTGTTTTCATGTCCGTAAAACAGAGAGGATTGAAATAGATGACCTCTGACGTCCCTTGATAGAAAGACAGATAGATAGATGGATGAATAGCTAGATAGAAAGATAGATTGATAGATAGATGGATGGATGGATAGATAGCTAACTAGACAGAAAGATGGATGGATGGATAGCTAGATAGAAAGGTAGATTGATGGATGGATGGATAGATAGATAAATAGATAGATAACATATTTATTAAGTACTTTCTATGTGCCAAACATTATGCCAACCTCTGGGGTTACAAGTAAAAGTAAGAGAGACAATTCTGTCTTCAAGTTTACATCCCGATGAGTCAGTCAGTCAAAAAACATTTACTAAGTGCCTACTAGGTACCAGGCATCCTGCTAAGTGCTTGGGGTTGCAAAGAAAGACAAACAGTCCCTGCTGTCAAAGAACTCACAGTTTAATGGAGGAGACGATATGCAAACAATTATGTACATACAAGATATACATGGGATAAATTGGTAATAATCAAAATCGGGAAGTGGGAAAGGGGAAAGAGAACACAGAGAGGGGAGCTGGAAAGGTCCAAGGGTTGCACCAAATATGGCTGAAGATGTTCTAGAATTTCCAGAGAGGCCCAGAACAGAGCAAAGAAGTCCAAAGAGGGCCAATCAAAGCCAGGGTGGTTCAGGGCCAGAGTTCTGTTTTCTGGTGGGGAAGGGGAGGGGGTGATGGCTTGACTAGAATGGAAACAGTATGGCAGGAGAGGTCTCTTCAGCTTTTGATCCTATGGCTATGCTTTCCTGGATTCTGTGGGATGGCTGTTCTATTCAGATGCATCTTGTGACCCTTTAGGCATGAATAAAGAGATTGAGCAAGCTCTGCAACAGGGATGAAGCCCAGCATTAGCCTAGGAATAGCTGATATAAAATGACAACTTAACACAGAGATGAAATCACTGAAGTTGGTTGTGTATCTTAGATCTAGTCCAACTCCCTAATTTTACAGATAAGGAAACTGAGGTCCAGGGTCTCACAGGTAGGTGGCGGAAGCAAAATTAGAATCCAGGTCCTCTGGCCCCAAACCCATCACTTTCTCCACTACACCAGCTGCCTCCTGAAAATCAGCCTTGTGATGTTCCTTAAATTCCAGCTCCTAGAATGATTTTTTTTGGTCTTTATCAAAATTAAAAAAAAAAATTCCCTCTCTCTCTCACCAGCTGTGTCTCTCTTTCTCTCCTTAGGCTGTAGCTACGAAGGACATACTTACAACAGCTCCCTAAAATGGCAGGTCCCAGGCAACCCCTGCGTCCTCCACCAGTGCCAGGTAAGGAGTCCAGCCTGAATTTTTAGTCCCTTCCAAAGGGATTTTTTTGACTCTTTTCAACCACTCCCTTCATGTAAAAGGAACCTACAGTCTTGCATCTATTTATTGCATCATTTATCAGGATGCTGAAGGTCCTCAAGACAAATAGGTCTTAGAAACACACAGCTGAATTGTTAGACTTCATGGAATGTTGTTGGGGGAAAAACTCCATAAGATGCATAAGACCTTGGGGAAAATGCAAGTCTTCCTGTGAAGTCAGCGTTAGGAAAGACAGGAATTCCCATAAGCAGAAAGGAGTTTTTGTTTAAGTGTATATGTTTTCTTTCTTTGATTTAGGATCATTCTCAAAGTCAGCCAATCTGCAAATTGTATTAAATCTAAGCAATTAGTATTCAGGAACCTCAATGATGTCAACCTGCTAGGTTCAGAAACAATCCGACTTCAGCCCCTAACTATTCCAAGGAGACCAAGCATAGATGAACTGGGGAAGCAGAGATCATACCCCATGTTGGTGAAATGCTGCAGGCTGTGAGCAATGCAGAGCTACGCTGAGGGTGATGAAGGGAAACTTTTTTTTAATCTTCATTGAAATGGCCCCCTAAAAATGCCCAGGAAACTCTTCTCTGTATAGTAAAAAAGGGCTCTCCTTCCTTTTGAGTACTTTATGATCTTAGGGAAAGGGATCTTAGAAGATAAGCTAGTCTAACCCCTTCATTTGGCAAATAAGGAAACTGAGGGAAAGAGAGATGCCTTGAGTTGTCTATGGTCAGTCTCCTAGTCAGTGTCTATGGCAAGGTTCAGAATGAGATCCCCTGATTCCACAGTCAAAGATCTGCCTTCTTTAGCTTGGGATTGGTAGATTGTCTAGAGGATAATCTCTGTGCTCATTTAACACAGTGGTATTTGGTGGCAGAAAATTTGGATTAAAAGTAGTATGTCCCTGGGAACATATCACTATATTTGTTAATGATGATGATGATGACAATAAAGTAGACATTCACATGGTGCTTGAAGGTTTGCCAAGAACTTTCCACACGGCACTTCAGGTGCTTTTCTTGGTGTCCACCCTCTGCAGGAGATGCTGTCATCATTATCTCTATTTCCTAAAAAAGGTTTTATTGCTGTGCTTTGTTTTTATGTTATAAATGTGTACAGATGATGCCCATTTCCTGAGAGGTCTCTTGTAACAAAGGAAAACTGTTAAGTAAAACTAATAATACAGTGAGTTCATCTGAAAGTACTCGGTGACATTTCACCTCTGTAGTTCCAGCCCTTACCTCTCTATTAAATAAATTTTAAAAAAATGAATAGAAAAGGATTTTAATGGTCTCCTGCCTCCCACCCCATTGGAAAAACAGACAGAAAAAACCAAATTTCTTGTAATAAATAGGCATGTCAGGCAAAACAAATTCCTTAAATATATACATATAGACATTTGTATTTGTATATACACAAGTATATAGAGCCTGAGAAAATGGCAGGCTGTTGAGTTTTGTTTAGGGGATGGGGGAGAAGGAGGAGAAAAGCTAGGGCCCACTGCAGGATGCCCAAGGCCAGCTGGAGGCAATGGCCCCAGAGAGGGAGAGGGCAGGAGAAAGAGGGATGATGTGGGGTGCTGAAGACAGATTTGGATAGTGGTATAAAGCTCCATTCATCCAAACCAATTCAGTATCACTTTTAAAAATGCTTGAGTACAGATTGTAGATTAAGAAAAGAAAAAAAAACCCTTTCTTCAAATATTTTCCCAGATTTTGTCTTCTCTTGTCTCAGTTCCCCTCCTGTCCTATTTCTTCTTCTTTCTCTGCTCTCCCCTTTGGCCTCCCTCCCTTCCCCTTTTCCTTCTCTTCTCTTCTCTTCTTCTCTTCTCTTCTTCTCTTCTCTTCTCTTCTCTTCTCTTCTCTTCTCTTCTCTTCTCTTCTTCTTCTTCTCTTCTCTTCTCTTCTCTTCTTCTCTTCTTTCTCTTCTCTTCTCTTCTCTTCTCTTCTCTTCTCTCTTCTTCTCTCTCTTCTCTCTCTCTTCTTCTCTTCTCTTCTTCTCTTCTCTCTGCCTTGGTCAACTAGCGCTTTCGAGGTTCCAGTCAACACTAGGGGTAAAAAACAAGGATCCACCCTCTCAAGGGGCTCAGATTCTAATAGAGGAGATGACTGTCAAGTAATTGTACATGCCAGCTCTGTTCGGTGCATGTGGGAGAAAAGCTCCGAGGGAAGACTGTTAGCAGTGTGTGTCGGGGGGGGCGGAGGGAGGAGACTTGGATGAGGACTCTGGGGGAAGGTGGGCTTTGAGCCAGGAGGCTGAGGTGTGGAGGGAGAGCATCTCACAATTGGGGCATAATTAGTGTCAAGGCCCAGAGTCAGGGAGTGTTGGGATGGGGAGCCACTGAAGTTGATGGTGTGGGAGAGTGATGCTGTCAGACCTCCATTTTGGCATCACACTAGGGTGGGGAGAGACCCTCCAGGAGGCTATTGCAATAGTCCAGATGTGAGGTCATGAGGGCCTGAAGCACAACAGTAACTGTTGTCAGAGGAGAGAAGGGGTCATATGAAAGAGATGTGAAGGTGGAAATGACAAGACTTGGAAAGAGATTGGATATGTGAGGTTAGTGCAGTGAGGCTGCCAGCCTGGGTGACCATGACAGTGGTGTCATCCTAGATAGTAGGGAAGCTTGAAAGAGGGGAGGATTTCAGGGAAAAGATGCATTCTGTTTGGGACAAACTGAGCTTGAGAAGCCCCCTCCCTTTCTCCTTTCTTCCCTTCTTGCTTCTCTTCCTTTTCTGTCCTCCCATCTGATTTCCTTTCCCCCCTTCTCTTCTATTTTCTTATCTCTCTGGTCTCCCTTCTGTTCCCCATCTCTCTCCCCCTTCCCTCCTCCCCCTCCTCATTTCCTCATCCCATTATCTTATGCCCCTTTGTTCCTTTCCTCTCCCTTCCAAATGGTGATGGAGACCACAACACCCCCAAACTTTGAACACACCCCCTTGAAGGATTATAGCTAGCAGTGGGAAGCAAAGAAATATTCTGTGGCTTGGCCCCCATCGGGGAAATCGTTAGATCTGAGGCATCAGGCCCTTTCATCTCCCTAACGCTTTTCCTTTCAGGGAAGCGGAGGGCAAGGTAACCTTCTATGCCTGATGTTTTTGTTTCCACTGAAGCTGGTTGCCAGACTTTTGCCCATTTCCTGCCAGCTGAGCTAAGTAAGGCCTGCTAGTCCTGGGGGGTGGGGGTGGGAAGGGGCCTTCCTTACCTGAGACATCGACAGGCCAAGCTGAAGACAGCTAGAAGCTTCCTTGTCAACTTGGGGATGCTTCTGAGTCCTCAAAAGGGAGAAAACAAGCTTCCTGGTCCACAGCCTTGAGCAAAAGTCCCCATGTATCATATATTTTTCACCCTGAAGTTGTTACAGATAATCTAACTATATTCCTTTTACATAACCTTGCTGAAAGTCAACCTCCTTCTTGAAATCAAGATTGTCCATTTTCAGGATACGAAATGCTGAAATGAGATCATGTTTGCAAAGTCCTTCACAAACAAGTATGAGCTCTTGTTATTGTTATCATATGGCTAATTATGGTTAATTAGCTAATTATGGTTAATTAATTGGTTAATTAAATGTTTTTAATTGTAGTTAATATGATTAATTCCAATTCCCTTTTTGAAAGATGTCAGTTGCTAGTATTTGGGCCAGGGGAGGGTGCTTCTTACTATTCCAGAGATCATGAATGCCCTCACTTCCTCCCTTGGTGGTAGAAACCTCAGGTTTCTGTGGTCTGGAGAATATTTAGAACTCAATTTACAACTTCACTTGATTGAAGTTTAAAGGTCACATAAGAGGCCATTAAGAAGGGAACACAGAGAGCAGAACCAAGAGGACTTTGTACACAATAGCAGCCATGTTATGTAATGACTAAGAATGTTAAAGTGAACCCTTCTCAGCATTACGAGGATCTAAGACATCTCCAGAGGCCTTGGGATGGAAAATGCTGTCCACATCCAAAGAAAGAACTATGGAAGTTGAATCGCTATCACTTATTTTTACCTTCTGTTGAGTTTTGTTTCATCTTTCTGATGGTTCCTCCTATTAGTTTTGATTTTTACTTACAACTTCACTAATGTGAAAATATGTTTAATGGGTATGTAAATGTAAAGCCTATGTCAGATTGTGCGCTGTCTTGGGGAGGGGGGAGGGGAGGAAAAGGGAGAAAAATTTTCAACTCAAAAGCATATGGAAGAAAAAAAATTAAAAAAAATTTAAAAACAAAAGAAGGGAACACAGACTAGTAGGACAGTTTTGAAAGAAACATGTAGACCTTATTACCTACTTTAAAAAAGCAAGTGGTATGACATGAAAATTCGCAGTTCTATATTTTCTTTTTGTCTTTTACTTGTGTGTATGGAAATGTTCTCTTTTCAGTATTTAATTTCAGAATAAAATTATTTTTAAAAGAAAATCCTGTGGGTGGAGGTGGCTAAAGAATTCCTCCCCCTCTTCTCTCCCCATTTCCTCTGAAAATTGGAAGATCTTGGTGGGTGAGAGGGAGAAGATTTTGGAAGATGACCCTGGCTGCAGGAGTATTTCAATTCATGTTTGATAATCTATGTGGTTGCAGGCAGGCAAATAATGGGTGCATCTAGGGGGGGCAGATGTACAAAATAGTCTGGTTCAAATTTGGCCCAAACATATTAAATAGTATTGTTTCATACTTTTAAAAATTTATAGGTTATCAGTTGATGTATCAGTGGAAAGATAACTGGATTTAGCATCACACAATGTGGCTTCAAATCTTGCCCTATCACTAATCATCTAGGTGGTCTTAGACAAATAATTTTATCTCTCTGGGTCTAAGTTTCCTCATCTCCAAAATGAGGGGTTAGAATAGATAACCTGGAAGAATAATTAGTTATTCAGGCCTAGGTTCAAATGCCACCTCCTTATGACTTGTGTGGCTTTGGACAAGGCATTTATTTCCCCAGGTCCTACTTTCCTTATTTATAAAATGAGTGGGTTAGACTAGATGACCTCTAAAATTCCCTCCAGGTCTAGAGCTATGATTCTATAATGACACCTGGCATTTAGATAGGAAATGGAAACCAAGAGAGGTCAAACAATTGGCCCTCAGTCAAATAGATGATAATTATATGAGTCAGGATTCAAACCAGGCCTAGAGCTCCATCCACTACATCAGGGCTTCTTAAACTTTTTCCACTCTTGACCCTGTCAGTGCTTAAACCGAAGCACTGTGGATCGTGACCCACAGTTTAAGAAGCTACATGCCTCTAAAGTTCTTCCTATGTCTAAATCCAGGTTACCGTGAGCCAAAGAGACACACTTCTCCTGGTTTAGAGAAGTGACTTTTTTTTTAAAGTTTCATTGATTTTTTTTTTCCTCAGTCATTTCCAGATATCCCTCCTCCTTCTGTAACATAAGACTTCCCTTACAACAATGAAAAATAGTTCGTTGAAGCTAGCTGATGATTTAATGGCCTTCTATTTTTCTAAAAACATGGTGACCAGATTATTTCATAACTTTAAAAACAAATGTATGAGCACATGCTTGCAACACCCAGCACTCATCTTCCCCTACCTCTACCAAATGGAGGGAGGGATGTTCCATCACTTCTTGGAGATCATGATTTGGCTTTGCAATTACTCAGATGTTTTTCTTCCTTTTGGTGTTGTTTATAAAAAAATTATTATTATTATGTAATTGTAAGAGTGATTCATTTAAAAGGATTTAGCAATGGTTTGCTCTTCAGCTAGACTCAGAGGAGAACTGAGTTTGGGGAAAGGAATTAGACTTAAGAGCATCATGGTAAATATAACTAAGTCCAAGGAGGGAATTAGCATTGGCAGGAATTTGGTCAATGGGATCAGTTGTCAGGATTTGACCTTGGATTTATGAAGCAATCCCACCCATTGGAAGATGACCTGGGGGAAGGAGACTGGTGTCCTCATTTCTGCAATAGATCCCTTGAAACGACTAATTCCTGCATGAGTTGATGTCCTCTTCAGCTAAGAACTTAGCACAAAGGAGAGCTTTGCCAGCATTAGTGACTGGTTCTATCACCCAGCAGCCCAAGATGGCAAATACTCTCCAGGGAGAACTCTGACTTGACTGGGCTGTGGTCATCTGTTTTTCAGGAAGGAGTCGTAACCAAGGCGGAAATGCACTGTGTGGTTCATTGTAAAAACCCTGCCAAGCAGCAAGGGATGTGCTGCCCCACCTGTCCAGGTAAGGCTCTTGGGAAGGAACAAAGCCAAAGTCGTGCCTGGAATGGAGGCACCTTTGGGTCCTCCATCCCCCAGCGCTCCAGGTTACACATCACTAAACAATACGAGGACAGTTCTTTTGTCCCAAGTCCATCGTATCTTACCTGAACGGAAATCTCTTAGTTGTCCTTCCTAACATCGCTTCCCAAACAGTGTGCTGCACTGATGAGTTTTACGTTGTCCTAACAAAACCCTAACTGCTTTCTAAGAGAAAACTGGGCAAAAGCTTAAGCTCCTGGAATAGCAATAATAATAACAGCTAGCATTTATGTACTGCTTTAAAGTTTAGAGGGAAAGAAATAAGCATCTCTTAAGTATTACTGCGTACCAGCTGCCTTACAAATATTATCTCGTTTAATCCTTACAACCACCATGGGAGGTAGATGCTACTATTAGATATCTACTTTGCAGTTGAGGAAACTGAGGCAGACAGATGTTAAGTGACTTCGCGTAGCTAGTGAAAGTTTGAAGCCAGAGTTGAACTTGTCTTTGTAAAGTGCCTGGCCCGCGGCAGACATTTAATAAACATTCTCTGCACTTCACCCCTCGCATTAAGGTAGTGATCAGACTTGGGGCAGAGCCTCCTTAATCTAATCACCATCCTTGATCGCCTATCTCTGCCCTTCACCAGACTGGTCTAGGAAGACAACTCTCCAGGATGTGCTCATTGAAGTGGCTATTGTTGTGTTGGATGAATCAAGATTGTCAATCGAATCTTTAGCTGAGCTCTGTTGCTGTTTAGTCCTGTCTGACTCTCTGTGACCCCATTTGGGGTTTTCTTGGCTAAGATACTGGAGTGGTTTGCTATTTCCTTCTCCAGCTCATTTTACAGGTGAGGAAACTGAGGCAAACAGGGTTAAGGGACTTGCCCAAGGCCACACAACTAGTTTGAGGCCAATGAGTCTTCCTGGCTCCAAGCCCAATGCTCTATCCAGTGAGCCACCTAGCTGCCTCTCTGTAGTAATGTTTTGTCATTGGGGAACTTTGTCTTGGTTTTGGAATTCTGTAATTCTAATCTGAAATAGCCTGTGTTAGAGAAATTTTCCAAGGCAGGATGGATTTCTGTTCCTTTGGATTTTTCTCTCTCTCTTAAGCAGAGATGCTCAGAATTAGAATAATCTAATTAATACTCTTATCTCTGTCAGGTTTGTTCCCCAAATTCAAGAGTATTGAATTTTTTTTCTATCAAACTAGGTTAGGGCAATCTGGGCTTTCACCCAAGATGACAAAATTTAAATGGTACTGATAACATTTGAACTACTTCATCAAGTGGAAACAACCTTCTTGATATCTTTGTTTTGGTTTTGTTTGTTTGTTGGGTCTAGACCTCTCATTTCATTTCTTTAGGGAGCTTCCCAGTGTGTAAACTCCCTGCATAGATGTAGATCTGCTCTTCCCCCTCTGAAATTTACAGGCTTAGAAAGTTGCCAGGGGCACAGAGCAGGAGGTCTATGACTGGCTCAGGGTCCTGTAGGTATCAACTCTGGGCTTTTTGACTTGAAGCCAGACCAGCACACTGTGGATTATGTCTGCTCTCCTTAGCACCCAGTTAGCACCTCTTCCAATGATGGGTAGACTCTGAGATCCCAGCACCTGCAGGGGCTCTGGGAAAGCCACAGAGTGGGCAAGGAGCAGAGCAAGGTCTGTCCATGGAGGGGTGCAAAAGTATCATGGTACAGGCAGAGGTAGTGTGGAAAAAGCTGTAGATTTGAGTCAGAGGACCTGGATTCAAATCCTACCTCAGTCACTCACTCCTTATTTGACCATTGAATTTCTCTGGACTTTAGTTCCTACTCTGTAAAATGAGGCTTGACTCAAATTGATTCACCTGTGATCTGTGAAATTAAAAAATTGTAATTGAATTATAATTTTATTAATTTAATTAGATTAGATTAACTTAAATGATTAAATTAATTATAATTATATAACTATAATAAAACAAAATATAAATTATAATAAAATATATTAAATAAATTAGAAAAAATAAATTTAAACATTAAAATATTTTTAGTTAAATAAATTTTTATTTAACCATATTTTGATAACTGTATTTCAATATAATTTGTTTCCTTGGTAATCTTCTGTATTTTATTTTATGAATTTAAAAACATTATTCTGAGAAAGGATCCCAGATCCTTTGTCATATGTCATATGTCATATTGCCTCAGGGATCCATGACACAAATAAGGCAAAGAAGCCTGTGTTGAGATGGTCCCTGAAGGCCCTTCTAGCTAGGTTTATGATCCTATGTCCTAAGGTGTGAATAAGGAAGCTTCCAGAGAGTGAATAAGCTTCCTCTTCCCACCAACTGTCTCCCCATGGTCACCCTCTCAGGGAACCCCTCCTTGCTCTATTCCCTATTTTTCTGCCCCTCCCCTCCTCCCACCTTTTTCCAGGAAGTAGCCTTTTTAAGTTTCTCCCAGTGGGTGGGTAGGGGCAAGTATCTGGGATCTCATCCACCTGAGGCTTTGTGTCCCAAAGTCTCAGGTCTCTCTCCCAACTTCTCAACTGAGTTTACTTAAGGAATTGCTCTGAGACATATTCTGTGGTCCCTGCCCCAGCCCTGAACTTACTAGCTATGGCTCTGAAAATGCACACCCTGGTGGTAAGCAGCCCTGGGGGATGTTTCTGAGTCCCCCTCTCCCAACTGCAACTTCCTGCACTTCAAGCTTGTCAGTCTAATGAAGAAGTGTCAAACACCCAGCCTGGAAGACTCCCGGGGGGCAGGCAAACCAGATTAAAATGTAATTGGGAAATATTTAGCTAACTAACTAAAAATAAAATAAAACACAGATAATATTAATATGTCGTTTTCTAACTCAATCTGTAGCCTGCAGGGATGGTAGTAGAATTCAGTGGCCTCTGTGTCAGTTAGAGTTTGACACCTAATGCCTAGAAGACAATCACTGCATTTGGCCCCTAGGTTTGTCCGACAAGATCCAGGCCTGGGGGTCTGCTTTCCACTCTGGGAGGGCCATTAGTATGAATTAGTTTGCAAAGAATGGTTGTAGCTTTCCCGTGTTTCCAGAAATCCCTTAGAACACACACACACACACACACACACACACACACACACACACACACACACACTCCTGTTTAATATTGCTGCAACCAAGGATGGTGATGAGACCAGATGTTTGCTGAAAACAGAGACCTGGGTCTCTAAGTGGATATAGGGTAAGCTTTCTACTCTTCTGCCGCTGTCCAGTGCAACAGGTGGGACCCAGGATATTTCTTAGCCTGAATTGCATTTTAGCAGACAGGGAGGTCATCTGAAGCTCAGTGGGTTGCCCTAGGCTCTCGCTCTATCCCTCCTCTCCCCCCATCTTGTAGTACTTTAAAAAGTCCCATTAATTTTCTAAAAAGGATTTCCAACATCTCCAGCATCTTTTCCCTGCTTTGGGCACATGCCATGGGGTTTGGGGATGACAGTGTCTTCTTGCTACCATGCTCTGTATCTATATTGATCTTCTGCAGGGCAGGGCTCTCTGGGTTCTAGGGGACTTCCTCTTAATAGAGGAAAGGTCATCTCTTAGCACCCTTTGTACTTGGATTGGGTTCCAAAGAGCTTTGTGTGGGGATAACATGACTTTGCTGGTTTGGAAATGCAAATCTTTATTCAGTGTGTGTGTGTGTGTGTGTGTGTGTGTATCTTGTACATTTCAAATTTCTTCCATCACATTTTAAAGGGGAGGACATTAAGTCAGGTCTAAAGTACCCCTTTAATTCCCTGCACCTCTTTCCTTTCCATTTCATAGTATCGTAGGATGCTCGTGAAGCCAGGCAGAGTAGATGAAGTATTAGACTTGAAGTCAGGAAGACCTGGATTCAAATCCACCCTCAGCTGCACCTTAGCTGTGTGACCTTGGACAACTGTTGGCCTCAGTGTTTCCTCATAAGTAAAATGGGAATGATACTAATAGGGCTTATCTCTCAGGGCTGTTGTGAGGATCGAGTCAGATAATGTAGGTAAATCACTTTTCAGGCCTTAAGGAGCTAAATAATTGTCAGCTATTAGGGCTGTAGGGAACCTAAAAATCACCTGCTCTAAGCACCTCATTGCAAGATTAGACAACTGAGGCACACAGAAGCTGTGTCTTTTGTAAGGTCATACACTTAGTGACGAGGGCAGGATTCAAACCCACATCCTCTCCTTCAAGTCTCCCCTGAGATTTTTGTCCCCTCCACACTCTCCTCCTCTGTTGAGGGCTCAAAAACTGTAATTGTTCTCTTTTCTTCTTCTCAATTGATTCCCCCCCCCCCTTCCCAAACCTTCAAGATACTTTGTTCCAATGTAGATTCTCCAATTTTATGAAGGAAGGATTCTTTGCCATAGATAAGGAGAAATTGCCCTTTCCTCCATTTTTTTCTCTCATAGTTGACATTGCTACAGCTTACTTTGCCCTCCCCTCAATTACATTGTATCTATTTTCCATGCCGTAGTGGTTCCATGGGCCCTTACAGAAATCATAACCCTGCCTCTTGTTCTTTCGTTTCTGGGAGAGCCTCCTGGAGCCAGGATTATGTGTGTCTAAATATCTGATAAATGTATCTGAGCCTACGTGAGATGTCTCCCACTATAGAATGTTAGCTCTTACAGTATAGGGACTGTTTCATTTTTGTCTTTGTATCACTAACATCTAGAACAATGCTTGGCTATATAGTAGGTGCTGAGTAAATGCTTGTCAATTTATTTATTTTGTTGATTGATTTATTGCTTGATTGGGGAAGAAGAACAAAGAAAGTGGATGGGGAAAATATGTGTCCTTCAAATCTGAAGGACAGCATGAGTCGGAAGCATGCCTAGACTGAAGTCTTCATTTCCTTTCAGGATGTGTCTTTGAAGGAGTTCAGTACCACGAAGGGGAAGAGTTTCAGCCTGAAGGCAACAGATGCACCAAGTGCATGTGTATTGTAAGTACAACCCGGGGTCTTTTAAGGAGTTCCTTCTTAGGCTGCCTACCTGGGAGTGTCACGCATTGGACTTTTCTATCTGCTCTATTCTTCTTCCCCAGAATCTTCATGTAGCTTTGTGATTTGGTGGTGTTGAGAGTGTCCATGACAATGTTGTTGCCATTATAGGGCATCATATCGTGATTATTCTTTCGACCTCAATGTGAAAGGAGTGTTCTTCTCTTAGGGGCCTGAGAAAAGGGGCCAGAGATGGAAGGCATGAATTCTAGGGCCTTGGTGCCTTTTCATTCCTCTGTAAGGAACCTCAGAGGCCATAAAATCTAACCCTGTCATTTTTAAAGACGGGGAAACTGAGGGCCAGAGAGATGAAGTGATTTGTCATGAGCTTGAGGCAGTGACACTACAATGATAGGCTGCTACATGGCACAGAGTATAGAGCACTGGGCTTGAGATCAGGAAGACCTGAGTTCAAATTCTGCTTTAGTCACTAGCTATTTGACCCTGACCAAGCCACTTACTTTTCTGTACCTCAGTTTCTTCATTTTTAAAATGCGGGGTTTAGGCTTGGCCTCTAAGGTGGTTCTGGCTCAAAATCTTTCATCTTATGACACTATAGGAGTTAGGAGAAGCTCCAGCTAGAAGTTCAGAGTTCATGGCTGGAGACAAGAAGGGGAGAGTCACCACCTCTGACAGATGAAAGAAGCCAGAATTTAGGTACCCATGATTATTGTCATCCTCATTGTTAGAACCAAAACTGTAACAAGCAGTTTCTGAATTTCTGTCCTAAGGAATAAAGGGCAACTTCAGGGAGATCTCATGGGGGTGCAGCTGTCAGGGCCAGGGAAGAGAAGGAAACTGGTCCTGGGACAATACAAGTGTCTGAAGAGGAAGGAAATATAGAGGCTCCTGTACCAACTGTTTTATCTGTGAAGTTGGGGAAGGCAGAAGAGGAACGTCTCCTCCCTTTATGGTACTTTTAGCATTCTTTAAACTTTCAGCCCTGGGCCAAAGCCCTAGTCTCTCCACCTTAGTTCTAACTCTGGTTAGAATGGAGAGACAAAAGCCTTGACACACTTGTTTTTTTTTATTAAAATTTTTTTTTATAAGTTATTATATAGCCTGTACTTCCCACTGTCTCCTCCCCAAACGAACATGAAAAACAAACAAATAAACCCTATCACAAAGATGAATAGTTGAGCAAAACAAATTCCCACCTTGGCTATGTTCAAAAAAATATCTATCTCATTCTTCATTTTAAGTTCATCACCTCCCTGGCAGGAGATGAGTGGTCTCTTTCATCTTCAGGTTTCTGGATTTGAGGTTTATCATTGCACTGATTAGAGTCAAAAGTCTTTCAAATTGTTATCTATACCATTGTTTTTGCTATAGAAATTGTTCTCCTGGTTCTGCAAACTTCCCTCTGCATCAGTTCCTAGACATCTTCCCAGTGTTTTCTGGAACTGTCCCATTTCATTTGGCACAAAATAGTCCATTCCACTCATATACCCCAATTTGTTTAGCCATCTCCCAATTGGAGGACATCACCCCTGTCCTTAATTTTCAATTTTTGGCTACCACAAAGAATGGATATAAATATTTGTGTCTACGTGAATCTTCTTCCCCTTTTTTTGATCTCTTTGAGAATAGGTCTGGTAGTGATATTGTGGAGTCAGAAGGTACGCACAGCTTGGTAATGATAAGAGTATAGTTTCATACCAACCTAGAATGGCTGGACTAATTCACAACTTTGTCTAGCCCACGTCGATTGTTTTCTTCTTTTGTTGTCTTTGCCAGTCTGAGGGGTGGGAGGCGGACTTCAGAATCTCTCTAATTTTTTTTTCCAGTATTAGTGATTTGGAACATTTTTATACAGTTGTTTAAATCTTATATTTCTTCCTTTGAAGCTGCCTGTTCATATCCTTTGGCAGTTTTTCTATTGGGGAATGGCTCTTACGCTGACACATCATTGGAGAGCTCTTTGGCGGTCTTAACATTAACAATAACAACAAAATGGACATAAACCCCAGGTGGCAGGAGAGAGAAATATCGGCTCTTGACAGGCTGCTCAAAATGTCTCTTTAATCCCACCAAGTTACAGTAGTGATTTAGCAAGATCGCATTTTTTAAAAGCTTTTAATCCTTACTAATAAAGAGCAGATTGTCTGAAGAGGACTTGTGCCTTGGTAATGCAGCTTCAGATATTAAAGAAAACACATAAGGGGTTTTAGGATCTGAAATTCATCAGTCCTGAATCACATGCGGGTCCTCATAAATCACTGGGGTTGTCAGGACTCTGTCAGACTCTTCTCCACCCTCCCCCCCCCCACCGCATCCATCAGAAAGAACCCAGAATAAGATAAACACAGCAGACTGAGGTCAGGTTTTAGGGAAGGAGGGAGGGTAGAAGGGAGGAGGCAAGATGTCTGGAAGGCAGGCAGTAAGGAAGAAAGGAAAGGAAGGAGGGAGAAAGGGAGAAAAGAAGGAAAGATGGGAGGAAGAAACAAAGGTGGGAAGAAGGAGAGAGGGAAGGAAGAAAGTAAGGAAGGGAGGAAGGAAAGGAGGAAGAGAGGAAGAAAGAAAGGAGGGAGGGAAGGAAGGAAGAAGGAAAACAAGGGAGGAAAAAAGGGGAATAAGGAAGGAAGGAAGAAGGGAAAGAAGGGAGGGAGGAAGGAAGGAGAAGGGGAATGAAGGAAGAAAGAAAGGAAGGTAGAGAGGAAGGAAGGTAGGGAGAAGGAAAGGAGGAAAAGAAGAAGAAAGGAAAAAGGGAGAGAAGGAAAGAAGGAAGGAGGAAAGCAAGGGAGGAAGAAGGGGAATAAGGAATGAAGGAAGAAGGGAAAGAAGGGAGGGAGGGAGGAAGAAAAGGAAGGAGGGAAGAAAGAAAGAGGAAGGAAGAGAGGAAAGCAGGTGGGGAGGAAGGAAGAGAGAATGGAAGGAAGGTAGGGAGGAAGAAAAGAAGGAGGGGAGGAAGGAAAGGAGAAAGAGAAGGAGGAAAGAAAGGAAGAAGGAAGGGAGGAAGGAAGGGAGGGACAGAGGGAGGGGAGAAGGAGAGAAGGATGGAAAGGAGAGAAGGAAGAAAAAAGTAGTCTGGGACTATGCAGGAAAGATGTTTGTTCATTTATTCATCTAATCAAAAAGCATTTCTCAAGTTCCTACTATTTGTTAAGCTCAATTAAATTCAATGGAGCGGTATTTACTAAGTGCTTATTTGTACCGGGGTTGTGACCAATGCTGAGAATACACTGACTAAGATGAAACTGTCTCTGCCTTCGGGGAGTTTATGTTCTACTTGACTATTCTGTTAACAAACAAAGTCATTTAGCCCTGAAAGACATGAGAGTCAGCCTGTTCAGGCTCAGACGCACTGATTTTTCTTTGCTTTTCTTCTCTTTGGGAATAAAATTAGGCCGATTCTATCTAATCAGGCAGAAGGCATTTTATTTAGGCCACTTCTCTTGGCTATATGTTCCAAAGGAAAAGCAGCCATCTATGCCATATCAACAGCTGATTTTCCAAATAGAGATCATTTCTCAATCTGATTTACCTGGGGATTGCAGGTTTCTTTTCTTTACTGGTAATGTTTGGATTATGTGTCAAAAGTAGCATGATTTCACGGGCGGGAAGGCCTGGATTCAAATCCTGATTTTCTTACTAGCTTTCTGTATGACCCTGGGCAAGTCACTAAATCCAAGGGCCCTTGACAGCTAAGATTGAAAGCTACAGGCAGACAGTAATTTATATAGACATACCTAGGTCATTACTAGATTTTTGAAGAAAATTCTTTGTTGTGTCAAGAAAAGCCTCGTGTATCATACTTCTCACAGACTTGTTAGGGCCCAACATTATTTGTAACCATCAAACCATATTGGGTGTGTTTGTAACCAGCATTGTGATATTATGTAACTGTATTGCTAAAAATGAATTACAGACCTAATTAATAGAGTGTTCCTGAAAAAAAAATGCTACAGGCAGACAGGTTGCTCAAATGCATCGGTAGAGGCTGTTTCCGCATTGAGATTTCCCTATCAAAAAAGCTCCCACATTCAGAAGGTGTTGAAGTGAATGAGGAAGTCAGGGGCTCGTGGTGAGCTGTCCTTGAGACAGTTCTTTGGGATTACGTAAGTGTCCATCTAGAAGGAAATGGAGAGCTCATCTGCTAACCTCTTGGCTTTACAGTTGTACAAATGATGAAACCAATGATGCCCTAAGCAGTTCAGTGACTTGGTGAGGATGAAACAGCTCCCCCAGTTTGTCTTTCTATTGCGTTCTGCACTGGGTAGGGCTTCCAGACCCGAGGCAGATCCTTCTGGATTAAAATCCCGCCTCAGACACTTAGGAGCTGTATGACTCCAGGAAACTCTCACCCAGTCTGGGTCTCAGTTTCCTCAACTGTGAAATGAGAGGACCAGACTAGATGTCCTCTTAGGTCCCTTTCAGCTCTATGTCTATGACCCTATGCAGCTAAGATTATAAACTCCTTGATGACCGTCTCACAGGATGGCTGACACATAATTGGCACTTCATATGTGCTTGAATGAGTGAATAGATACTTCTCTCCCTCTTAGGATCACTGGGGCTTTCCAACCATTGAGTCCAATTCCTCCTTTCCTTTATTTTATAGATGAGGAAACTGAGGCAGGCAGTGGTTAGTGATTTGCCCAGAGTCACCCAGCTAGGAAGTGTCTGAGGCAGGATTTGAATCCAGGTGCCCCATACTCCAAGCCCAGTGGATCTTATAGCCTCTATTGCCCATAAAGCTAATCCTGTTGACTTTAATTGGGTGATTTCTTAGCTTCAGCCTTCACTTCAAGGGAAAAGATGGGGAGAAACTAGAGAGTTCTTGGGAAGAGGGGGAATGAGGTCAGGAATACAGTCATTCATTCACCTTCCAAATTTCCTTTCTCATGCCCTCATATGAACATAACCAGGTTCTTAATTTTCATAAGTGCTTTTTTTTTTCTTTTGATGTAGCACGTTTGAAAGGGAGGTTTTGGCAAGCCAGG